TACTTCTAGGGGCGATATAACTAAAAAGAAGTAGACTTATGTCTATTAGGTAGTAGCATTGAATTAAAATAAAGAGGAGATGCTATCACAATGCTAAACTGACCGCACCCATTACACATTACATTTTTCTCAAAATAGTGGAGCTAGTCAGTTTTGGTGAGAATAAATGCAATTTTTTGTAAATAGCTTCATTTAAATGATAATCATTTTCATTCAAGTCTTCAAATATAAAATTATTAACTTCAAATAAATCAAAGTTCGACTCAAGTCGCCATTTTCATTACATTTTTCAGTCACTTGAAGTGCGTCCATCTGTCATATCGTAAAATAGTGTTTATGTCGTCTCTACTTTATTCTATCTCGATGGGCAATAGTGTAATTATCCATCAAAAATGTCCCTAAAAAAGGCCGTGGAAAAACAACGCATGTCAGTTTGAATTTAATTCAGAGGCATGGTATAATTTAGAAATATTTTTTTGTGGATCACTCACCATATAAAACAATGAGTTTGTCATATATTTGTTACCGTTTAGAAAATAATAAAATGCACTTTGCGCCCTAAAATATTTTCTAGAGTAGCAAAAAAATATTCAACAAATTTAAAAATCTTCAATAAAAAATATAGCACAAATTTATATACAAACGATATTCCAAAATCCCTTTATTTAATACATTTTTATCCATTCCAAAAACCTTAACCCTTTGAGAATGGCTGACTAATATATTCGTCATTAAAGATTTTTGGCATAAACACTGATGATGAATATTTTCATAAGGTGCTTATTTTATATCTGGAAGTCTGCTTTTTCGAATACGGCGTTTATAACAAGTTTGGAAAGCTCACAGGTGGCTGACTAGCCTTTTCGATGGTTAACGAAAATATTCACAGTAGCCGGCAACGTCAAGTGATACTACAGGGTGTTTCCAAAATAATCTAGGTATAATATTGTTGTGGGCGATTCGTCATTCAATTTTAAGACGAAAAGCTCCTATAAACATGTGTGACAGCTTTTGTCCTTTATGAGATACAGGGTGATGACTTTTTTAATATACGAGCTCTGACTGTTACAAACCCTATCTTAAATTTAGAAGATCTTCAAAATCGCATCATACAAGGCTGTAATGTTATTAGCAACAATCCTGGCCTCTTCGGACGTATTTGGCAATCTATTAGACGTCGAGAAGATGCTTGTATTTTAGCTGGAGGTGCACATTTTGAACATCTGCTATGAATTGTAATACTACTTTTACGTTTATCACAATTTATTGCTTCTATTAAAATAATAAAAACGTCAACACCCTGTATCTCATAAACGACAAAACCTATTACGCATCTTTATAGGAGCCTTTCATCTTAAAATTGAATGACGAATCGCCCACAACAATATTTCAGATTACTTTGGAAATACCCTGTATTAACACCACATACAATTATTGTTTCTCATTTTGTCTCATAATAAGAAGAGGAAGAAGGTAAGTAATTGATAATTGAGTTTCAGATACTATAGAGAATAATATGGGGGTGCCACAGGATAGTATACTAGGTCCACTACTGTTTTTAATTTACATTAATGACATTGCTGGTGTAGTAAAGAGATGCTCAATACACTGATATATTTGACCAATGCAAACACTGAAACTTGTTTTAAAGAAATTATTTTTTTTTTCTCTCCTGGGCTCGTCTGACTATGTGTCTCCGAATAACACTGAAGCCTATTGGCTTATTGTGTTTTACCCCATGTTAGTTCATAGCACCCACTCTATCACCTTTGTACCTTGTACAAGTTTGTATAGATCCTTGGGTGAGTGGGTTCTATACGTTGTTGGATCAACCTGGGGTTGTCCAAAAGAGCCTGTTTTTTGCGATCTAGAGCTTCGAATTCGCACAGTATGTGTTTGGCCGTTTCTGGTTTCTTGTGACATAGTCGGCACATGAGTTCCCCATTGTAAATGCCAATTTTGTTCAAGTGTCCCTTTACTGGGGCGTGCCCAGTCATGAACCCTGTTATCACTTTCAACTGGTTCCTATTCAATAAGAGTAGTTCTCCAGTTCTTTTGGGACATGGTCTGCCTATGAAGGCTTTTCCATGTGCCTGTTTTGGGGTGCTTCCCCAATAGTTGATATGTTGTTCCCGAATCCAGTCATTAAATTAATAGTTCTATAAGTAAAATATATGATTATTGTAACGGAAATTCGTTGAAAGTAAATTACGAAAAGACAAAGTGGATGTTAATTGGGGGTACTGTTTCAGAGTTGATACAAATTTACAATTTAAGGAACATGCTAATAACGTCATCAAAAGCATATCATTTAAAATAAACTATTTGAGGCGCTGTTCTCCACATCTCAGCAAATGGGCTAAAATAATAATTTATATTACTCTAATATTACTTCATTTTAATTATTGTGCCACTATATTGTATTTACTCAACCAGAATCAGTTGCAACGATTGCAGAATAGAGGTATGAGGATAATACTGAGCTGTTCAAGATTAGTACTAATCAATTCCATGTTGAATGTGCTTCAGTGGTTGCCTTTTAAAAAATATTTGCTAGTCTATTCCCTGTTATTTATATTTAATATTAAATCAGGAATCTCCCCAGTTTGTTTACAAAATATTTTAAGTTATAATCAGGATGTTCATGAACACAATACACGAAATTAGAAAAATTTTAGAGTTTATAAGGCCACAAAAAATGTACACAAAATTCAGTGTTTTTTAAAGGTGTACAGGCTTCTAATAATTTGCCTGAAGATATTAAATGTTCTTCAAACGCAGTAACATTTAAAATAAAACTGCTTGAGTACTTGCTGACCAATTGACGTTTTTTTTCTTCTTTGTTGTTCTTTTATTATGTTTTTTTTTTATAGTTGACATGTAAGTGTACTGTATCTTATGTATTTTATTGTATTTGGAAGGTATGTTGATTCTATACTTATATATTTTTACTTTCCTATCTGTATACAGGAAAGTATAGGAATCATGATTTTTTCGACCTCGAGTTTTCGATGGATTTTTACGTTTTGAGGTCCCCTGAATCCGTTTTGACTATTTTCGCGATGATGTCTGTGTGTGTGTCGAATAACTCATGAACCGATACACGAAAAAACACCAAATTTCAAACTTAAGCTTTGTTCCAGCGTCTTATGAGCTGATTAGATTTTGGACAGAGTCGGAACATCTGGGGGGTACTTTATAGGTGGTCATTTTTATATTTTATGGAATATATCTGTTATTTACGTTTGGGGAAGAAAATTCTTCAAATAAAAGTTACTTTTTATATTATTATCTATAATTTCTGTTCTATACAAAATTTTCCTAAAATGGTCCGTTTTCGAGAAATTTGACAAAATGTAAAAAAATATTTTTTATAAAAATTGTTTATACAAAAGTTGTTTGTAATATAGTTTTCTATAATTTTTATCCTATACATAATTTCTCTAAAATGGACCGTATTCGAGATATTTGAGAAAATGTGTAAATTTAGAAATTTGAAGAAAACTCAAAAACGGATAAAGAAAAAAACATTAAATTTTAAACTTAAGTTTTATTTCGGCCTGACGTGAAATAATTAGATTTTGGACAAAGTCGGAACATCTGGGGGGTACTTTATAAGAGGCCGTTTTTATATTTTATGGAACATATGTTATTTAAAAAATTGTTCAAATAAAAGTTACTTCTAATATTATTATCTATAATTTTTGCCTTATGTAAAAATTTCCTGAAATGGTCCGTATTCGAGAAATTTGACAAAATGTGCAAAATTCTGATTTTTATGAAAATTGTTGAAATAAAAGTTGTTTGCGATATCGATCTCTATAATTTTTGTTCATACATGATTTTTCTAAAATGGACTGTAATGGAAAAATTGTAGGAAAAGTGCTAAATTAAAATTTTTCAGCATTTTCGTTTTCAATGAATATCTATAGAAAAATGTTTCGGGGTAGATGTATGTGGAAAATGTATATATTTAGTTTATCCTCCTCTAAACATTTATAGAGGTGCTGCAATAGGTTGTACAAAATAACCGGAAAAAGCCTGTAATAACTAGATAGGAAAGTCATGTGTTGGACACATCAGATTTTTTATATTTTAAATGTGAAGATGTATTGACATGTAAAAAATAGTTTTTTGACTAAATAAACGATTTATATAAATAACGTTAATTTTTATGTTTATGAGATTTTATTAATAAAAAATGATTTTTTTTGCAGTGAAGAATGACATTAATATTCTTCACCAGCCTATCTGTCACTGCATAAAGTCTTGTTGTTATGACACGAAAGCTACATTGGTCCACCATCCTGAAAGGGTTAACTACTCTAATATCGCTACACGATTTGACAATTTTGACATCCAAAAAAATATGAAACAAAAATTTTGATACCCACGAATATCCATATTATTTGTATGGAGTGACCAATAAAATTTATTTTAAATAGGCCTTGGAAAAATTAATGTATATCAAGTGCACAATTATTTTTCTTTCTAAGGGTTTGTTTTGGTTAATTCCAGTTCTCAAATACAGTTTTTAGAACTCATTTTTCAAGAATACATCGCGATAATAATCAACCTATTGAACTGAACGAGTGTAATTAAATAATGATTCTGAATTAGTTCATGAAAGAACCAAAACAAGCCTTAAGTGTCAGTTTGGATTTAATTCAGACATGACTCACCACTATTTTTGTCAGTCATGACCTACTTTATTTTTTTTTTCCTGAATCACTCAGTATATTGAAATACTTGTCTTATCACTTATGTTTATTTTATCAGTGACTATTGAATATTATTTAATAAAATTTTGTAGATAGAAAATCAATTAAAAAAAGTGTAATTATTAATTCCTTTATGTTACACCTTTGTATCAGTATTTTAGACAAACATTGGTCAAAACTGTCAAATTAAAAAACAAATTATATATGCATGCAATAAAAATAAAACACTAAGAAAATTCTTTATTTGTCATGGACTACTAATTTCTAATTTGTACCTACCTAACCAGAGCTGGGCACAATTTTTCCTACAACTATACATCACAGAAAAATCGTTTTTTCCAGGATGTAACAGTTGCTTTTCCTCTTCCTCTGTTAGTTCGGCTATACAGCCAACTAGACGTTCTATCTTTTCATTTTTATACCATTTCCTTGTAGCCGATATTTTGGCTCCTATTTTACCTTCTAAGGAGTATCTGTAGCAGGGCTCTATCACAAAACCAGACTCCTTGTCAAATACCCTAAGATAGCGGTAGATCTGAAACGTTTACACAGAAATATTTGATAAAAAACAATTCTTTATAATGATGAATCGAGTAATAACAAATTTTATGTTTCAAATATCAATCAAAGACACAATATACTAAAATTAATAACCTTACATAAAATTTTCAAAAAATATTCAAATTTTCCTGCACTATAACTCTACTGTCAAAATTTAGTTTTTTTTTTTATTAAGAACAGCATGGGTTATTCCTAAATAAAAAGAGATTATCTAATTCTTGCATTCTTAATTTCTCAATAGAGTATAGTATATACATTAACTGACAATGCATCTTAAAAAAAACAATTTTGACAGTTGAGTTATAGCCAAGGAAAATTTAAATATATTTTTGGAACTATTATCTATAAGGTCTTTTCTTATTCTGAGGTCTTAGTAGTGATTTTAAATCTACTAAAGGTAATGCACGTTTTAATTTTTATAATTTTCCTATACAATCTATAACAGCTACAAAATTGAATTAGTTTCTAAGATAGGAAACAATATAATCAGATCCAATAACACTATGCATAAAAAAACAAGAAAAATAAATAAATCCAAGCCAAACAAAATTATTTCATTTTGTTCATTGTAGAACACAAATTAAAAATAGCAAACAATCTAGGCAACAAAAATAGTATAGGGTACACATATTTTCTCTCAATACACACATGTACTTGTGGAACAAATATAATAACTTTGTGTATCCTTAATTTCCAGTATAAACAAGCCTTATCTTAATGAGTTTTACGATATTCAGAAAATGAAATTGATATAAAAAATAATTTATATTGTACATACGTGATCTTCCAACTTTTTCTGTTGCATTTTCAACTTGATTCTGGGCCACCAGTCCCCTTTGGAAATCTTAGCAAAGGCTTTTTCATAGTTTTGATTGTGCACAAAGTCTTCAATAATAGTTTTCAGTTCAGTGTTGTTTGCTCGAGGTGCCCTAAACCTTGTACTCATTTTATGGGTGGTAAACCCCAAATGGGGGTCCAAAACAAGCGATGTAGCGATATCATCATTATCTGATAATTCCTTTGGGTTCATACCAGTGGGTTGCATTTTTGTGTGAAAAGATCTGGTGGTCACATCTACAACCATTCTGAATTACTGCCAACTGGATTGGTAGAATTCACATTTTCAGATAAGCTTTTGATTCTTCTAAGTAAATTAACTTCGGATGCCGAAATTTAAAAAACGTAAACAAACTTATAAGGTTAGAATGGACCCAGACATTTTTAAAAGGTTAACATTTTTCAAGGTCGTTCGGGGAGCTGACAACAAAGAACATTTTAATTTTTTGAGAAGAATAACTTCACAATCCGGGTAAACAGAACACTCTAGCAGCTTCCATTTTTTCCAAAAAATCACATTTAAAACCGTTTCACACCTGAAAATAAAGCAAACTGTTGAAAAACAATTGGCGAACGACAACCATGGCGAAAACTGCAACCATCCGATCTAGTGGCTTGTTGGAGGCCGATTTTGCTGATAAAATGACTTATGTTAGCATTTTCACACTAATTTTCAAAAGTATAAGGTTTCTGACATGTAATATTACCATTTCCTTGTAGCTTTTCACCCAAACTTTCCACATTTTTCAAAAACTATTTTAGTTCAACAATCCCGAAACGACGCTAAAATCAATCATGGCAGCGATCCTCATGGCATGAAACGATTAATTACATCGAATAAAATTTTAATCCAATTGTCCGCATCTAATAGCATTAAAATTTAGCGCATAAGATTATATTTTCTAGTAAAATCCAACCGGTTTTCCTAATCTCTAATTCTTTAAATCATTATTTTTAGATAATTTTCCGGGATCTTCAAACTAGCGTGGTTTCGAACCAAAGTCAAAATTTTTCATTAAATACAGAACACTACTTTCACTTTACCAGAGCCATCTATAAATAGGTAGCACAATTATTGTTAAAATTTCGATGAATAGTGTTTTAGCTATAACAATCTAGATGGCAGCACATGTACGTTTTTATTTTTAAAATACGAATATAAATATATTTTATTTTATTAATTTACTCACTGCATTCCGTATTTTCTAGAATAAATAAATCAAAATAAAACTTACCTAAATCCACTAATTAAATTTTTACCATAGTAAAAATTATAAATCTCAGAAAAGCATAGAGTAAAAGGGATATACAAAAATAAACCATGTATGTATAGGGCATGTATAGGGTATAGGCACAGCTTATACTAAGCTGTGGTATAGGTACCCCTATTCGTTTTTATTTTTAATTTGACTGGCATATCTAGATATATAAATTTTTATAAAAAAGTATTTAGTCAATTATTTTGAGACTAAAAAACGCAAAAAGAAAAAAAAAAAAGCGCGCCCTATTTTGATACGTAGGTACCTACCTAGGAGCTCTAGCCTACTTAGATGAAAATTACTTCAGTTATCTATTTACTCAGTAAACAGGTTTAGGTTATTTGAACCTATTTTTCCAATTTCCAATTATCCTATTTTTGCTATTTGACTAAAAGAATAAATATAAAATGAACTATTACCTACCTAGGTATATGCCCATGCCTGCCAACATTTTTTTAAATAGCTCATAAAAATTAATGGAAAATAGGGTATGCCTGTCAATTTTCAATAAATGATTAATGGATAACCATGCTGAACAAAGCTCTTTTCTGATTATGTTATTTATTTTATTTTTGTTTACTTGTCGCCTTCACCAATATCTTCGGTGCGGTCTTCGTGTTCCTTCGCGTCACCACGAAAACTAGAAACGAACTTTGAAAAGTTTTAAACACATCTCACATCTCGCATCTCAGTAGCCGCGTCGGTGAAGTGTAACAAGTTATAGGTTACCGTAGCAACAAAACAATCTTGAAATAAATAAGAACTTGCGGAATTACAAAAATTCACGGTGTGTATGTTTCGGAATTTATCAACAAACATTAGGTTTTTTATTTTTATTTCATGCCTTGTGATTTGTGCTTACATAATTTGATGGTTTTGTCTTCTGTCGACTGTTCCAGGTAAGAATGTTAATCTTATTGTTGAGGTTAAGTTTGTTTTTATTTTTATTTTGTTTGATGCGATATTTCTGACGTTTATCTTTGTTTTATTTTGTTTCATAGTCTAGGAAAGAAACGAATTTTAGATTATTTTAAAGCGTTTAGATTCATACAGTTTGTTTACCTTCTTGGTTGAAATTATTAATTATTGAAAAACATACCTAAGTGCTTACATTCTTTGTATAACTTATTAATTTAATAATAAGTAGTTGTAAAATAATAATTATAATTCTGTAATTAAGGATTAAAGTTTTATATCGTAGATAAGTTACAAATTTCTATTATTCAATAGGTTTAGGTACCTACAGACCTACCCACCGGATGTTGTAAAATTATATGCATCAAGGGTTTGTACTATAAAAACAGGTTCAGGGGTGTTAAATGATCATTTTAATTTATTTTTTAAATATTAAAACCAACATTGTCATTATTCTGTTCCAATACCGGATAATAAACAAAATAACAATCGTTTTTATAAGTACTTAGGTATATATACCTTACATTGTAAAACTTATACCTACTTATAAAACGAGCTAGCCAAAGTAAATCCTCAGGTCAACAGGTTATTAAATGAAACATGAGGTTCCGAAAAAAATAGTTTCTAATTTCTAGTATTTGCTTAGTCTAACCCTAAACCCTAAACCTAACACTAAACAAATAAAAAAAACAAGATAGTGGCCAGTGGCGTGCGCTTTACTTTCTGCCCCGTCCCGTGAGAGAAAATTCTGAGAAAAATTAGGTACTTTAATTCTAATAAAACATCCTATTAGATATTATTTATTTATAATATTTAATATTTTTCGGTTTTATTTTTTGGCTGGTTACAGTGGCGTAACTAACCTGTGTTTTTTTTTTTTTTTTTTGAAAGGGCTAGGGTTGGCAGGTACAGGTTTTTTAGGCGTTTAAAAAATTTAAAAGTTAAAATTCTACTATTTTAATTTGGAACTTAATATTAGTGACAATTAAAAAATAGCATTTATTTATTTTTCACTTTTTAGTTTTTTGTTTGCAGAATGTGATTTTTTTACCTAATAAAATTCTATTTTTCAAGCTTTGCTTGTATTTTTTGTTTAACTATATTAATAATATAATTTTGACATATACGAACTAAAACCCCAAAAAAACCTAAATTACCTAAAGAGCTACTTATATATTTTTTAATTTTTAGGATTTTTCAATGATCATTTAATTTAATTATTATATGAAATTTGTAAAAAAAAATGGGAAGGGTAATGCAAATAAAACACTAAACATATTATTGAGAAGAATTGTATTGCATATTAATGAATATACAGTTAAGCTCGACCAGTAATAACTGAACTTTAGCTGGTGAGGCCTTGATTTTTTTGTAAACCTTCGATAAGTACTTAGTTATTGTGATAATTTTTAAAAGAAAATAAAAAAACATTTACGCGCCATTAATTCTATGAAAATTTGCTGCTTAATAAATATGTATCTAGTAGTTTTTAAATGGGAGACTTTCCCACTTTTTTTCTTAAATGTATCTGTAGAATGCTGCCCTATCATTGTACAAATTTAAAGTTCTCAATATTCTCGAGACACATAACATCGCGAAGTATTCCCAGTGGCGCGCTTTTTAATACAATTTTATATTAGAAAATCCTCACATTTTTCTTTTTGCGAGAGTTCCGGTTTGCTCTTAATATGATGATTTTTCTGAAAATTCCGGACAATTTATAATTTCCGGCACATTTCGGACAAAACTCCAAAATTCCGGTCATGCCCGAACGTTTCCTGATCTCTACACGTGATGGAAAAATTAAACCTTTAATATATCAAAAAACAGCTTATCGCTTGACTTCTAGGAATACAGGAACTGATACCTAATAAAAATAGGTACATAATAGTAGTTTGTGCAACAAGAGTGGATATGGACAATCCACACTTATTTTAGGTTATTAAGACAAAATAACTAGTTTTAAAATAATTTATGACTTTTCATAATTTATAGAATATAACATGAAAAAGAGATTAATTGGTCCCCAGCCCAGATTTGAACCCGGGCCTCTCGCGTGGAAAACAAACGTTGCCTCATCTGCACCGCTACACTTAAGATTTTAGTTTTAATACTCGTAACTAAATTATATAGTTTCATATAGTTTGATTAAAATTTAAGATTTATTTCTAAATGTGGACGAAATAAAAATAGAAATGCCATTATTTATCGATACTACACAAGAATAACTCATTTTTACGTATATTTAATCTCAATGACTAAAAACTATACCTACTGAGAATTAGTTTGACAGAATTGTCACTTATATAAAATTTTAAAAATAATAGTAGACGGGTGACCAGCTGTGATTTCAATTATTTGCAGTGTTCTTACTAGATAGAATGGATATAAAATATATTCGTTCAGTTGAACGCAATGGTATACTTTATCGTTTTGTAGTCTGTGCGTAGATTATAAGCTAATATCCATGTGGGCGTAGAAAAAAACTCTTCCATAAAATATGAATAATATAAATGTATGCCTAAAACTAATGTACCTACGTAAGAGCAACTCAAATAGGAACCAGTTGAAAGTGATAACAGGGTTCATGACTGGGCACGCCCCAGTAAAGGGACACTTGAACAAAATTGGCATGTACAATGGGGAACTCATGTGCCGACTATGTCACATATGTCCATAATAATGGTGAGTAACAGTAAACCATGGGTAAATAATAAAATAAAACAAGCACAAAAAGTTCGTGATGAAGCATATAGGAAATTTACCATAACAAAAATTGAAGAAGATTGGAAATTATATAAAACTAAAAGAAATAAGGTAACGACCATAGTCAGACAAGAGAAGAAGACATATTTTGAGGACAAAATAGATAAATCTAAAAATGATGGAAAAGAAATGTGGAGAACTATAAAACAATTGCTAGGTCAAAATAAAAAAAAGTTAGATGTTAAAAAAATTATTTTTAGTGAACATAATAGTACTGTGGAAGAGAACTTTAATAATTTTTACAAAAACAGTATCCAGGAAATCGCAAACAGCATTGAAGATAAGAGGATTTCACCCATGGAGGACGTCAATATCAACAGTGAGTTTGGTGCTTTTAAAAAAATAAGTTTTAATCAATTAACAAAAATAGTGAACAATCTTAAAAATAAAAGTTCAGGTGACGCATGTTTAAGTATTGCACTATTGAAGGGGTTATTTTGTGTTATCGGGTACCCTCTTCTTAATCTGGTAAATACGGTCCTTGTAAAGGGTACGTTTCCCAGTGATTTAAAAGTTAGTGTAATTGTGCCAATAGCCAAAATATCATGTCCAAGACCAGAAGATTGTAGGCCTATAAATTTATTACCATCTGCAGATAAGATCATTGAAATTGTAGTAAGAGATCAGCTCAAGTCTTATTTTGAAGACAATAATATTTTGTATGAGGGACAGTCAGGGTTTAGAGACCAACATTCTTGTGAAACAGCTCTCCAATTTGTTTGTGCGAAATGGAGAAGTGATATGAATGAAAATAATGTTATTGTTAGTGTTTTTATTGACCTTAAAAGGGCTTTTGAAACAATAAATAGAAATTTTTTATTAAAAAAGTTGCAAAATTACGGTGTAAATTCGGTAGCATTAAATTTAATTAGGGAGTATTTGTCTAATAGGTATCATAAGACTAAAATAGGAAATAATATATCTAGTGAAACAGAAAGCCACTAC